TTTTGAGATTTTCTTAAACATGGGAATTCGGCGAAAAAATCTGAAAAATGTCACAAAAATAAAAATTTTTTATTTTTTATTTATTTCCTAAAGTTTTGACCTTTGTGATCATTTTAAGCCCAAAATTTTGAAAATCCCACGGAAACTGCAAAAGTTATGAAGGTTTGAAAATGGTCGAAAACGCAGATTTTTAAGTTTGGCGCCACGCCATGGCGCCAAATATGAGTTTTACACGGAAATGTGAATGGATCCTTCATTTAGGGTCCTAGTAGATTCTAAAAAACATAGTGGGTACCCTGGACACGAACGACAGGTCGTGAGTGTCCCTTGTTAGTTTAGATTGTTGCGTAGAGGCTGGACGTAGTGGAAAAGATCTCAGCTTGTGAGACTCATTTAAGTATGAACGCTCCACATTTGAGGCACAATGGTATATAGCTGATTTTTTGTAATACGTGTTCATAGCTCAAGTATTGGTTGATTTTATGTAAATCGTGGTATAAGATCCAGATATTTGCACGCATCGCGATCACGAAAGGTTTGTAGCTGAACGTTATAAATAGCCAGTTCATGCCAACTATGGTTATGTAGGTTGGCCATGGGCGTTAATACATTAATTATTTGGTATTACAAGGAATGAAAGAACATAAAGTCGGACAAAAGCCAGGTCACAGCTATTGTTCAAGATATAAGAAATATCGCTGTTAATTCCACTAAAGGTGGAACCTCTTGAGAATATTAATATTTGGTTAAGTGGCAGTTCCAGCACATGATAAAAATAATTCGGAAAAAAGTTGAACTCAATATTAGCATTTTTTATAAACTTTTCCAGACCGTAATATCTGGCGAGTGCGGAATAAGTATGACAACCATTAAATTTTTAAGATGATACTGCAAAACTTTTCAAAAATGCCGCTGGGTGCCACAGTGTCCACATTCCGCTCAATGGTTTCTATATGGGTTCGACGAATGCTTCACAATCAGACAAGTAACCGATTTATAATGATGATCTGTTTTCGAAGCCATGTGTTACATACCAAGAAACTGGGTAAATGAATGGAAACATTAGCAAATTCATTAAGTTAGAATGCACAAAATTGTTTATATATCAAAATTTTTCATTTTTAAAACACTATTCGAATCCATTTCCAGGCAAATGTTATTTTCTCTGTACTTTAATATCAATAATTGACGCGTGTAACTACTTACAACTATACAGTTAGTAAGAAAATAAGAGGGATGTTTGAGTTTAATTACGCGAGTTGAAAAAACAATGGCATTTCAAATGCTTTCAGAGAAACTTATTTCTAAAGAATTTCGTGCTTTTTTGCATGTGATATAAATATGTATGTACACTGACAAGTAATACTTTTTAAAGTGGCCGACATTTACAAAATTACACATCTACGGATTTGTTGGCGAAAGTGAGTCCTAACCTGTCGAATCATATCAGAAACCTTGGTGTGGGAAAGTGTAATTGCTTTCATAAAAGGCAATGCAGCAGTGACTAAAACTCTCCTAAGTTGCGTCTTAATCTTGGAGATTGTGCAATTAGCGAATTTGACACTTTCATAAACCAGTACTGCACTACTTGCAGTTAGTCCGATGAGTAAGGTGAAGAAAATTATGGAGAGATTTGAAGCGATGCTTTGCGCATGGAATTGAGTCTCAGCTCTCCCCAGGATTGAGTTGGTGGGTCTTTTAGGAACTTCCCGGCTATCCAGGAACTCGACCCACTTAGAGTAAATGCCAGATTCTACAATCCCGCTGATCACACCAGAAACGAGGTTCCAGGCAAATTTTGACACGACAACGAACTGCCTTCGATGGAGGATTGTTTTGGGTAAGATCTTGTAGTGACGTTGCGTTATAGAGGATTTAGTCCCGAACAGCTGCCGAACTACAAGATGTATCTTATCTGTCCAGGAGACAATGGCGGATTTCTCGCAGTACGTTATCTTCTTAAGAAAATCCGGTTTATCGATGTCCTCCAGAAGATCGTCAGTATCTTGAACGAAGGCAGAGTCTGTGTTGAGGAATAGTTTAATGGTGGAGTGGTTGTTGACAACGTCTGAAAATCTGTGGATCACGGTTTCATTGAAGTCAAATTGCTGGAGGTAGTGGTCTAGCCCAGGGCCAGTACAGTGCGGACTTCTATGATGTTTTCGTCTGACATTGTAATCTTGAAAGCATTTCCTATAATGGAGAAGAGCCTGGAAGGACATCCTCTCAAGCTTCTCGCCCCTAAAATGCCCAAACGTCTGGTGATCTTTCAGCTTTAAATGGTGCGAGAGGCCCCAGGATATTACTTCTTGTTGTATATACGCGGTCAATTTTGAATTAGGGGTTACTTCAAATACAGAATTTCCTCGGGATGGGTCAATATCGACGAATTGAAAGTGGTGAGCCACCATTTCTTCAAGGGTAGAGGGAATGTGGGCAGATATAGGGGCAGTTAGGTCATTGGTTACGATGCTTTTGTACAGGTTGGAGAGGATGAAAGAAGCGAAGGCCCATAGCATCAGCTTTGGTGTATCCGCTGATTCCGAAACGTTTTCCAGCAAAGCAGCCAGAAGGTGAAAGAACATGAACCGTTTTGCCACTAACTTGAGAAATATTGTCAGAGTTGTGATAGTTAGTGCCACACCGCCCCATGTCCAGAAATCGAAGGGTGTAAGAAAGTTCGAAAAAGTGACATAAGATAGGATTGGAGAACAAGTTGCAAATGAGAGGCTCGTATTGGTCCAGAAAATGTGGTAGAAATTGGGATGAACTAGGTTTAGATCGCCGAAGAAATTATCTTCGTGCTCCATATCGGAGAGTTCGTTTTCTGAAGGATGTTTAAACTTGACCTGGATTCCGGCCGTGTTGGGTAGGTTTTTGACCAGCTGGGAGACGTTTATTCCGAGGTAGTCGAATATCAAGGATTTTAGGACGAGGTTAATCAAAGCGGGGTAGTATTTGCTTTCGAAGATAGGATTAAAGGATATGAAATTTGTTTTAATAGATTCTTCGAAATGAGACGTCTTTCTCCAAGCCAGAAATTTTTCGGTGGACTTTATTTCGTTATCAAGAAGTAATCTGGGTTGCAATGTATTATTGTTGAAGAAATTAATCCACGTATCCTCGATGCATCGAAGACAAATATGTACAATGTTTCTTGTAACTGATTTTTTGTCTTCATAAGCTTGAGGAACAGCTGGTTTCTTAACGAGAGCGTAGTTTATTCCGTAGTGGTTGAAGATATTGCGGGATTTCGTTACAAGATAGTGAAAATTGTGCCTATAATTGAAATCTTCGGATCTATTCCCACCAGGAAGATAAACTAGGGCTACACATTTCCTAAAGAACGTTTCCGATTTGCTCATTTCGTAAGAATCGTAACGTTGTTCTTCTGTTTCTTCGGATGTTGGCATTCTTCCCGCCACGATTGCGACAGATTCGTCGATGTGACCCAAAACGTGTTCAATATCATTCCAGGATATAGATTTCGTTGATATTTGAACGACCAAGAGCTTACATTGAAGTGGAGATTTTGAAAAGATTGGCTGGAATTGGGGTAGAAATTTGAGCATGGGTAAAGGTGGGAGTTTTCGATGATTTCGTGTTTCGAGGGTCCAGGCTGGGAATGGAGCCGTTAGCAGGGCTTCAGGGTGTGAGAGTTGGACGGGGTGGAGAATCTTGGGAATGTGATGTTCCCAGATTGTGCGGCGACCGATTGAGATGAGGAGAAAGTGACAATTGTCGAATGCGTTGATATCTTGCGACAGTGAGGTATTGGCAAAGGAGAAATGATTGACGGCGAGTAGAAGGTGAAAAATTGCACCGAATTTGAGATCCATGACGGTCAATTTAGATTTTTGTCTATAGGCTTGAAAAGTTATGAAAGGATAACAGCTATTGTGGATTTTGCGATGCAAATTAGGAGAACAATAAGTTTGGGATATGATAGCTGACTTTTTCGTAATACTAATTCGTATGTTAGCTTTTCATTGGGTTTTTCATATTGTTAATAAGCTTTGCAGAACACGAACTCCTCCAGCTTTCAATTTAATTGCGTCGGGCATTCTAGGCGGAGTATGTGTAGGTTGATTTTGATATACACTCTAACAAATTGGGTGATAGCCGTTATCATGTTCATCACAATATGACTCTACCGGCCCTGGTGATAGGCAACGACAGTGACATACCACCACAGTACGGTGGTATTTATCACCAACCCGTTGTCATATATAGGTATATTTTGAGAGAGTGCAAAAATATTTTGCCAGACGAATTTGCAAATTTTTAAATTGGCTCCAAAGTACGGCATCCGGCGCTGTTGTGGAATGGAGGAAAAGGAGAGTTGGAGGATGACGAGTGTGGAGTCAATTTAAAAATCGGCAAATAGGTGTTACAAAATATTTTGCACTTTTCTCTAAAAATATACCTAGATGTACGCAAAAAAGTTAAATTAGAACTCGAGTATCATGTAAAAAGTATACCTTTTGAGATAAGTACCTAATCATGACACGAACATGGATGGGACATATAATTGATTAAATAATTGAGCACATACAACTTACATGCATAACTTTTAGACTCTGAAGTCTTAAAATTTTCAACTAAATTAACTTTTCATTTAACTCCAATGGTTTTTTGCCGCTTTCGGGCGAAAATTCTGGTGGCATAAGGTAGAAAAAACCACTTCTTGTCGGACACTTTTTTCCACATGCTGTATGCCTGCGAAACCTTCATGCAAAGAGGAACGCAGAAATCCTTAGTCCCGATACGATCTCGACACCTTGCATTATCGTCAGTGTGGTTAATCAAAAAAGTTTAAACAGGTTATGAAAATGGATCTGTTTTGAGGCACGATTTACTGAAGCTTATGTATCCAAACGTTATCAAGTAATTGAGCTTATCATGGATTGGAAATAAATACGTTGAATCCAGGCCAGGCAAACAGATTACGACAATTAGTTGCCTCATCTTATCTCGGTCTCACTTCAGTAGCAGTCAGGTTGCCTACCAGCAAAGAAGAGCTTTAATATTTCTGTGGAAGATGTGGATTGTTAAAATATTTGGCGCCATATCGCTACTTCAAGGATCCGTGTGGGGACAATGGAATCCATACTTTGCTCCAGGAAGACCCACAGTCGTGCATTTGTTCGAGTGGAAATGGAGAGACGTTGCGAGAGAATGTGAGACATTTCTAGGGCCGTATGGGTACGGAGGGGTTCAGGTAAGTTTGTGACTGTCTTAGGTAACCATAGGGTTTCATTTTGGACGGTCAATAGCTTTTTATACACTGTTTAACCGCTTTTACAAGAGTCGAAAAGGACAAGGGTGGTTAAAATAGACAAAAGTGGTTAAAATTGATAAAAGATGTCAAAATTTATAAAACTGGTAAAAATGGACCGAGGTGGACCAATGGGATCAATGGAACAACCACTTCGGAACGCTTTGGACATCGAAAACATGTCCCGGGAAAATTGGTTTTGTCCGACGTGGTGTCCAAGATGGTTTAGCCAAGCCAGTGTTCGCCTTAGCAACAAGGCGTTTTTTGTAAACATGCTCTTGCTTGCGGCTTTTTTGCTGTCTTGGCTTATTGAAATCAATAACATGGTAGTTATATTGTGTGCTAGATGGCGACTGTTAAAACAGCAAAACAACAAAGGCATGAGCAAAATAACAAAACAGAAAAAACCTATTTAAAAAGCAAAAGTACATTACAGTCATCCATGCTTTTTTGCCGTTTGGCGAACACTGGTCCAAGCGAAATCCTGCCTAAGCCATACTCCCACAATAATGCTGGCAGGCCCTTTTGAATTATTTTTTTCTTTCAATTTTTCAGGTCTCCCCGCCTAACGAGAACGCTATAATTATGGACCCCTTCCACCCCTGGTGGGAGAGGTATCAACCCGTGTCCTACAAGTTGGAGACCCGCTCCGGCACTGAGCTCGAATTTGCCGACATGGTCCTCCGCTGTAACGCTGCGACCGTCCGAATCTACGTCGACGCCGTTATAAATCACATGAACTACAACTACCTTTCTGGAATAGTGACTGGGGGGAGCTTCTATGACGGGCCGAACACCCAGTACCCAGGTGTACCGTATGGGCCTTTGGATTTCAACAGGTATCCGAACGAGTGTCCAAATCCTTCAGAGCAGATCAACGATTATAATAATCCGATAGAGGTATGGAAGTTTTTAGAATGGATGTAATACCCTATTTATCGATATATTTGGTGGGACATTGAAGTCTCGAGATTTAGACGGATCGGCATTATTCAATGTTTCTAAATTTTTTTGATATCTTGATATTTCGATATTTAGACATTTTTCGATATTTCGAAAGTGTTCCAAATGTCGATATTTTCGATATTTTGATAGTTTCCGATGTTTTCAGATATTCCGACTATTATATTTTTCGACATTTCGATACTGCAACATTTTTAGATATGTCGACATTTTAAAATTAAATTTAAGCAAAAAAATTTTGAGATCCACTAATATGACGCAACTTCGTCACGCGCTGCTTTCATCCATTTATATAATTTGCACAGACACGTAACTGTGAACTGGGAACGTTGCGGGATCTCAAGTTGGGCACTGCCTACGTGCGTCAGATGATAATCGATTATCTGAACAAGCTTGTCGGCTATGGCGTGGCTGGATTTAGGTTTATTTGATATCTTTTTGATTGATTGCTGACGTAAATTGGTGCATTGTTTCGGTTCGGATAGGATTGACGCCTCGAAGCATATGTGGCCAGCTGATATGACGATCATCCTCGCACAGCTGAGAACCCTGCCGACCGATCATGACTTCCCGATTGGGGCCAAACCGTTCGTGTATCAAGAGGTTATTGATCTCGGTGAGTCAATTGGGAGATTGACGATATTTTAGTGGGGGTTAAGATAATTTAGGGGACTGTTGATTGTGGATTCATCGAAAATTTGGGAGTGTTTCGAAAGTTTGGTAGATTTTCGATAATTTGGGGAGTTAATTTTGAGGCTTGCGGATAGTTTGCGGTGTTGTCGATAATCTTAAGGGTTTTTGATAATTTGGTGGATTCTCGATAATATGGTGGATTTTTGATGCTTTGATTGATTACTGCTTATCCTTTTTCGATCTGTAGGCGGTGAAGGTATCAAGGGTGACGAGTACTTTGGCCTAGGGCGGGTAACCGAATTCAAATATGGGAAACACCTCGGCGAACTTTTCCGCGGGTACGATCAACTCAAGTGGCTCGTAAATTGGGGTAATTGAAGAATAATTAAAACTTATATTGGGCAATACGATACATTTTTATACTTGACCATGAACCCCTTAGGTGAAGGGTGGGAAATGTACCCTGACGGAAACGCGTTCGTCTTTATCGATAATCACGACAACCAACGCGGTCATGGCGCAGGAGGAGAAAACATTTTGACCTATAGAGTTTCCCGCTTGTACAAAATGGCGGTCGGTTTCATGCTCGCGCATCCATACGGTATCACGAGGGTCATGTCGTCGTACGATTGGGAACCTTATGAGGCAGATTGGGTCAGTGTATAGCTTGAAACACTAGGGCGCGGGAATTTCAAAAAATTTAAATTTCTCACTTTAATAGATTGGACCCCCCAACACGAACGGGGCTATTGACGACGTCATCGTGAACCCTGACCTGACCTGTGGGGGTGGCTGGGTGTGTGAACATCGTTGGCGGCAAATTTACAACATGGTCCGGTTCCGGAATACCGTGGCGGGAACGACTTTGAACAACTGGTGGGATAATGGGAACAATCAGATCGCTTTTTGCCGAGGAAACATGGGTTTCATCGCGATTAACAATGACGATCATCCCCTCGTCGAAGTATTGCAGACAGGGTTACCCGCTGGGGAGTAATGCGACGTTATCTCGGGCAATTTGGAGGGCGGGGTTTGTACGGGGAGCACGATTCGGGTATTGGCGGGGGGAGTGGCGGCAATAAATATCCCGCATAACACGGAGGCGGATCCTTTTGTGGCGATCCATATCGGGGTAAACTGAGATATTATTGTTATGCTGATTGAAGCGGGTTTTTTAAAATGCTTTTTCTTGTTTTTCTTCCAGGCAAGGTTGTAAAGAAACGAGGACAAAATTGATTGAAATTTTGTAGAAAATAATGCTAATTATTTCACAACAATTTGGGAAAATAAAATATTCGGTTTTAGAGCAAGATAAATGGTTGGAATTAGTAAATTTTTTCGGACTTGTGACAGGTTTCGCCATTGATTAGCTCATGTTTGCTCATGTTTTTTATTGGTAGTTTTTTATTGGGGTAGTTGGTCCGGGAACTGGGACGTTTTTGTTTTGCGACTATAAGAGATGTTCGTGGCGGAGAAGCAAAAAATCAATTTTACCTACATCTTGGGTTGTCCAATTCCCGCTCCCGGCGAATAAATTCCCTGGAAATTGGGAATTTTGGGAATGTTGCCTTTGGGAATATTCTCAAGATTTCCTAAAATTAACTTAAATCTTCGATATTTTCAAGATCTTCGGAAAATTGGGAAAATTGGGAATATTGCAATTGCGAATATTCCCAGGGAACAGGAAATTAGACAACTTTATTCACATCATTGTGTTTACAAAAGATTCACAAGTTCGCATCGCAACAAACCAGATTTAAAATTGAAGAATGTTACTTCACTTTAAAGGACAATTTTAAGCAAATCATGCTGGAATAGATGTCACAGAACGCCATTATGGTCGAGGCATTAAAATTAAAGACTATATTTTGCTGAGAGTAGTGCATCCAAAATCGGAAAATTTTGTAAAACCGGTTTTCGATTTTTCCGATTTTGGCAAAATTTTGTAAAACCGGTTTTCGATTTTCTCCAAAACCGGTTTTAAACCGGTTTTTGAAACCGGTTTTACACCAAATTAAAAAAAATTTAAAATATGATTTGGTAAATTTTGAAGTATGGCAAACTTCATGGATTAATTTGGAAGAAATATTTCATAACACTCAATTTATATATGAAAAACAAGAAATGTTAAATATTTAATGGCTCCGAAACAATTTTTATGAAAAATCGAAAACCGGTTTTCGAGTTTGATAAAACCGGTTTTGTACAAAACCGGTTTTTGGTGAAAATCTAAAACCGGTTTTCGGGTAAATCGAAAACCGGTTTTTAACCGGTTTTGCAAAATCGGAAAAACCGATTTTGGATGCCCTAGCTGAGAGGCTTGTTGGCCCATCTTGTAATGCTTAACAACATTGAAAACTTCAATTTTAATTACTTTTTCAATTGTTGACCGATTTTCAAACTTCGGCCTGTTTTGGAAACTTCAGCTCAAATGGCGAAATATATATTCCCAGATTTTTTAAATTCGACCACACCCCCGTGCAATTAAGGTCACAAGTTCAAAAAACATGCAAAATAAAAATAATTCCTGCATCGGAATTTCGAAGTATAAAGTCGAATCGCTTGTCGAAAACATACGCCGACGCACAGGTCACATTTAAAAAATTTCAAGTGGTCACATGGTCACCCCTCATTGGGTGTGGCTGTGGGCGCCTTTTCTTTATAACTCAAAGCATGGGGTGTGACATATCATTTTTCTCAGCTCGACGAGGAGATTCCGACAAAGTAAGTCAAATTTCGAAACCACACCCCCAGGGGGTGTGGCAAAAAACCACAAACCATCTCATTCTTGGGCGCTTCAAAGGCAGCCACTCTTTTCTCCTCTTCCTTTCTAATAATTTTGAAATTTTTATAAATTTACCTCAAAAATAGTAGTTTACAGACGTAAATTTTTGCTCAACATTCGACATAACCGTTTACCTACTCACCAGACCATTTCAACGGCAAAAGAACTTCATATTTTTCGAACAAGGAACAAATCAAAATACAGTCATAAAAAGCACCATGTTAAAATAAGTCAACAAGTGCCAACATATGGCTCGAGTCAATCTACGCTTACTACAACTGCTTTCACATTTCCTTCAATATTCCTCTCAAACGCCACTTCAATTGTCAACAAAATTAACGAACTTGAATTGATATCTATTCTACAACAATTACAAGTATTGTGCATCACTGAAACGTGGCAAACGGAGACTTCGGACATTAATACTGAGACTGTTTCATTAAGAAATGAACGATTTCAATGTTAAGTAACTCCGAAACGGGTCGGAGTTTCGGCTCCAAATTTTTAACATATTGACACGTGTCCCTTGACGTGGAGTGAGCAAAAAATCAGCTCTCTGTTTTCGAAACCGACCCTCCCACTGACCTCGGAGCAAGAGGGTGTCATAAAAAAGTTTTCCAAAACTGCATAACTTTTGGGTTGTGCTATATTTTTAAAATTCTGTCAAATTGTTTGTTGTGCTCAGAATTTGATGCGATTGGTGTGTATGTTCTTGGCATGCATCTAGCTTTCAAAAACAACTAAAAGTTCACATTTATTTTTCAATCTCTTTGCATACCACATCGCTTTGTGAAGAAAAATGAAAAACAACTTTCAAAAATGGCAAACTTGAATTTTTTTCGCGACAATGGTTAATATTTTTTGCGTGTTTTTTGTTTTAGCAGTTGGTGGAGATATTCCTTAGTACAATAGAAACTGCTTTTGTACGTTAATTTTTAGATTCCATGCTGGTTATAACATTTTGTAGAACACGATGGCGCTTAAATTTCAGGTCCCAAGAAAATTGTTTTATGCCTTTCCCTCTGGAGCACTAACCAGTTATTTTTTTCTCCAAATTCCAACTGTGTTTAATACTATAGACCCTGGGGAATAGTATATGCTTCATGTTGTGAGTTTCAACTTATCTACAACTTAGATTATCTACAATGTTCGATAATTCATTTTTGGAACGCATTTTTATGACACCTTCTTGCTCCGAGGTCAGTGGGAGGGTCGGTTTCGAAACTAGAGAGCTGATTTTTTGCTCACTCCACGTCAAGGGACACGTGTCAATATGTTAAAAATTTGGAGCCGAAACTCCGACCCGTTTCGGAGTTACTTAGCATTGAAATCGTTCATTTCTTAATGAAACGCTCTCAGTATAGCCAATTTTACAGTCTTCTCGAATAAAAGAACTGTGAGAGGAGGTGGAGTCGCTATTTACATCCGGAACGACCTCTGTGCCACTGAAGTTGCTCCCTCATGTGACGACGACTTCGAAACTCTATGGGTTTATTTAAGACCAGCTCACCTTCCAAGGTCCGTTAGTGGAATAATTATTGGGCTCGTCTACATTCCTGCACCCGTGACCAAGGCATATTATCGTCCTTCCAGCCAATGACCAGGGGTCTACCCCAAGGGACCCTTTTAGGACCCGTATGCTTTGTAGTGACATTTGACCCCATTCTGAAACGACTTAGTGTGATGGATCCGTTAAACTCAAGAGTCTACGGGTTCGTGGATGACCTCTCCAACCTTGAAATAGTGCGTGGCGACTCGATCACGACTTCCATCCTTCAAATTGCCAGCCACGCAATAAAAGAAATGGACATGAGACTCAACGCCAAGAAAACCCTGGCCCTGGTAGTTGACACGAGGCGGAAGCCCGAAAAATGCGAAATACTGCTAGATTCAATCAATATACCCATAATCAAGTCTGTTAAATTATTAGGGGTGTTCATTAACAGCAAGTTAAATTGGGATGATCATGTCTCCTGCATCACCTGTAAAGCTGCCTCACGACTTAATTACCTCCGGAAGATAAAATCTCTCGGTTTCACAAAGGAGGAACTTTTGGTTGCTTATTCTAGTTTTGTAAGATCTGTTCTAGAATTTAACTCTACGGTTTGGGGTCCTGGGCTCACAATGGATCAGAATGACTCCATTGAGAGAATCCAGCGCCCCGCCATGTCTTCGATTTTAAATGTAAAAGTAACTGAAAAAAACTACCAAGAACACCTACTTATCTTGCGACTGGACACCCTCAAGACCAGAAGAGAGGAGGCTTTGTCACGAATGGGGGCTAGCATACTGCAGAATCCTAGGCTGCGTAATATGTTACCTGACTTTGCCAATGTCACCCATTCTCTCCGCCACCGTAATCTTTTCCCTCCAATCACGACGACTAGGAAACGATATCAAAATTCCTCAATCCCAGCCATGGTGAATCTAATTAATTCTGAATTCCGGCAAAAAAAAATCATTTCTGGGTATTCTACATGTGCCCACTTTTACTGATTAATAACTACTTTTGTTATTTAAATTTATCAAATCTATTTCAATTTTTTATTATTCTTTTAATCAATTCAAACTTTTTCTAGAATTTATATGGCGATGTAAGCACTTCAGCTTGTACTGCAGCTTGATCAGATGAAATAAATCATTATTATTACATGGATACATGCCACAATAGCAAAATAGTGATAGGGTACCATCATTCGTCGAGAAAAAGGACATCGCTCCAAACGTAACTCAGTGTCGGCCCTTCGAAAGATTTTGGGCATTATTTTAGAATCAATATACTAGGAAAAAAGGACACCGAAAAAATTGGAAAAATTTAGGCGGGTTATGGAGAAATTCGTCATAGAAGTTTATGAAACGAGTGGCAAAGCGCTCATGAGAGGTGAGGTGTGCGACAAAGTCTTCGGTCCTCTGGCAGGGAAGGCGTATGTGGACCGTTGAAGGATTGACAAACTTCGGTATACTCATTGTCAGTATTGCACAAAAGTTTCATTACATTTGAGTCATGCATTCACTTTTGGCGTCTAAACGTCCTGACACTTACAATATGCGGACTCTTGTTATTTAGTAATACAAACACTTATCTTATGATTTTTTAACTCGTTTTTAACAGGGAGTCCAATTCATGGCATTATCTCTGTTTCGTATGTGCTCAAATATTTGTTTAAGTTAGCCTCGTAGTTATGTACCAAGCTGCATTCCTCCTCTGTTTTTTTAAGTAAGACCATTTACAGCACGTCGTACTAATTCTATGTCAAAAAACCCAAAAGTGCTGTCTCATCTCAATTCTAGATATAACCACCTTAGGAGGAGTAGGTACGACTTTTGCAATGCCAGATCTTGATGCCCTATGGATATGTGGCAGGTCTATATGAGTTTAGAAAAAGTGAAAGAGGGTTAGAGTCCATGGGCCCTGGTACGCCCGTCTCACACCTTCGAAGGGGCGCCCAATGCCATACTAGCTGACTCTTGACTCTTTTTTATGACTGTCTCAACTTGTGGGGGCTGCGGGGGAGGCATTTTTGA